ACAAATCAAGCAAACTATCAAGACTACTCGGGGATTTATAACTGAGGTAAGCATTACTAGAACTCCACGGTTCCTAGTTACCTTAGAACGGCATGTGTCATTTATCTCGCGGAAACGTTTGTCAAAGTGTGTCTCTGTTTAATAAGGCCTTGTTGTCTATGATCTTTTAGTTCGCGGGGGACTTTTTCAGCGATAGTACCCATCATGTAGGATTTCCTCTCAGCCCTTTTACTGCCGATTTATTATGCATACATTGTTATCATCCCACTCTGTATACAGTTCAAATTCTATTAAGTGGCCACCTATTAAGCGGCCATCCTCCATTAAGCGGCTAGTGATCAAAGTTCCGAAATACTTGTAGAAAAGAATGGGAAAGTAAACCTCTATTGAGCGACTACCTTTATTACTGCTGATTTCATTGCTACCCGGATTTTTCAACGGTCATGATTCGACACTAATCACGTTACGTATGGCTTCGCAGCACGTAAACGGTTGTAAAAATAGTAGCAGGCGAGAGTTCTGTCGTGGGATCCGAAACAGAGAAAGAAACATCTGGCTGGCAAGGAAAGCTTATCACCAAAAGACATAACTGTATATTAGATTTAATTTGACCCCTTATTAGCCGGAATTACAGACGATTGCTTCGAATCGTTTTTACTCCCTCAGCCTAACCCTAACACCGTAAAATTCCGAAAAAAAAAGCCCCGGGGCTTATATTTTTAGAAGGCCCTTTTTGAGGAGCTTTATTCACGCCGGGGGGGGGAAATTTGCGTTTTAAAATTGATTGGGCTAGCCTTATAGTTGGAAAAAAATTACCTTTTTTGCTTTGTTTTACTTTGTATTTGAGGGCAATTTTCAATTACAAGTCCCCGTTACGAGTTTGGGGGACTTATATTTCCAGGGGCTTATACATGGAGGGGATTATTTTCGGAATTTTACGGTATGCTTCATCATTTTCAAATTTTCAAGGAGGGCTGCATTTTAGGAGCTTTTTCTGGAAGCACTTATGTCACTTTTGTTGACGTAATTTGATCAAAATGAAACTGAAAGCTAAAGGAAGGGAAAAATCCCTTAGGATTAATTTCTTCTTGGTAGAAGGGTTGATTGTCGCTTTAGGTAAGTTTTGTGCAAGTCCAGTTATTTTATGAAGGAAAATGCAATTGGCTTTTGTAGTGACTTGTTTTGCAAAATATGATTTCCCCGTAGACGTTTTTGTCGTTACAAATCGAGCGAACTATCAAGATTACTCGGGAATTTATAACTAAGCAGGTAGGCATTGCATTAGCTAAAGTTATACTAGAACTCCAGGGTTCCTTTACGTTAGAACGGCATTTGGTCATTTGTCTGGCGGAAAGTTTTGTCAAAGCATGTCCCTGTTTAATAAGCCGTGTTGTCTATAATCTTTCAGTTCGCAGGGGACTTTTTCAGCGAAAGTACCCATCATGTAGGATTTCCTCTCAGCTCTTTCACTGATTTATTATGCATACATGATTATCATCCCACTCTGTATACAGTTGAACCTCCATTAAGCAGCCAGTAATCAAAGATCCGAAATACTTGTAGAAAAGAATGGGAAATTAAATCTCCATTGAGCGGCTACCTTTATTACTGCTGATTTCATTGCTACCCGGATTTTCAGACATGATTCGGCGGTCATGATTCGACACTAATGACGTGACGTATGGCTTCGCAGCACGTAAACGGTTGCAAAAATAGTAGCAGGCGAGAGTTCTGTCGTGGGATCCGAAACAGTGAGAGAAACATCTGGCTGGCAAGGAAAGCTTATCACCAAAAGACATAACTGTATATTAGATTTAATTTGACCCCTCATTATCCGGAATTACAGACGATTGCTTCGAGTCGTTTTTACTCCCTCAGGCTAAACCCCATGTAAACCCTCTTAGTAAAATCCAGCTAGTGGTACATTATCAATGCTGCGTTCTGATTGGCTGAGCTACTACTAGGCTATATGTCATAGCCCACTAGTAGCGAAACGCGCGGGCTTTTTGGCGGAAAAAAGGATTAAAGTCCAGCTTTAACTAGCTAAGAGTTTTTTATTCTCGATATTTTTTACCAACTAGTTGGATTTTACTAAAACAATTATTCCTCTCGCCCTCGTGCTCTCTGAGTCAATAGCCCATTCGGTCTTCGGCCTCATGGGCTATTGACTCAGAGGGCTCGCGGAATAATTGTTAAATATGCTTTATTATTTTCAAATTTTCATTGGATGGCTGCATTTCGAGAGCTATTTCTGGAAGCACTTACGTCACTTTTGTTGACGTAATTTGATCATAATGAAAGTAAAAGCTAAATCCCATAGGTTTAATCAGTCTTCTTGGTAGAAGGGTTGATTGTTGCCAGGAGCCGATTAGGCTCCTGTGTGCAAGTCCGGTTATTATGTGAAGGAAATTGCAATTGACTTTTATACTGACTTGTTTTGCAAAATATGACTTCTTCGTAGACTTTTTCGTCATGACAAATCAAGCGAACTATCAAGACTACTCGGGAATTTATAACTGAGGTAGGCATTGCATTAGCTGAAGCTCCTCTCGAACTACACGGTTCCTTTACCTTAGAACGGCAATTGGTCATTTATCTCGCAAAGACTTTTGTCAAAGTATGTCTCTTTTTAATAAGCCGTGTTGTCTATGATCTTTCAGTTCGCACGGGACTGTAGGATTTCATCTCAGCCCTTTCTCTGATTTATTATGCATACATGTCTGTACTCATAGTAGTCTGCTACACAGCCGTTTTTAGTGTCTGCGTTGCGTGACGACATAAGGGACTTGTCAGAAATTAACAGGGGGGGAGGGGGGGGTGGGAATTTTAAATTTGGGTTCGGAAATGAGGTGACCCATCCCTGCAATGGGAGTGAAATTTGCTAACCCTCCCCTTGACCGTGGCCTAAAATATCATGACCCTCCCCTTGACCGTGGCCTAAAATATCATGACCCTCCCCCTCTAGTATAAAAGATAAAATCTAGTTCTTGCAATACACTAGGGTGAGTCAGTATTATGAAAGCTCAAAATATATTTCTAATCTGTTCTTTGTAATACCATATACATACATTTTAGATGACAGCATTAAGAGTCCGACTCTCCTATTTCTCCCAGTTTTTTTTTACAAAATAAAGAACTCCTTTTTTCTTCTGTGGGTGAACCTCTACATGATCACGGACACATATTTGCATGACCCACCCCCTTTTAACGGGCCATTTTTCATCACCCCTCCCTTTTCTGCAGTCTCAAAAAGTTGTGACCCTCTATTTCCACCCCCCCTCCCCCCCTTCTAATTTCTGACAAGTCCCTAAAAAAAGGCTGTGCAGAAGAATCATATTTATCATCTGTGTTAAATTATAAAGGCAAGCTGTATACAGAAATCTTTTTAAACCGGCTCATCCCCGGACGGGTGTATTTCAAAAGAACTTGCAATCTTCCTAAGTGACGTGACACAAAGAAATTCAAAGACGTCAACGTAACAGACCTATACTAGCTAAGGACAATAGGAAGTAAAAAAACAAAAACTCCTCAAGTTTTTACACGTACCGAGTTGTTCTCCATGCGCCTTCCTTTGCGTACACAAGGAAAGTTGATGTTAGCGAATTTCAGGTAAAAAAATAGGGACACTCTGAGACTCTGACATCGAAAACCACAAATGAAAGGCTTCCGGCGGGAACAATCTACATTAGGTTTCTTATCTACCTAAAAGCTATCTATGGACAAATTCATTTTTTTACTCCTGCCAGGAAATTAAATTGTTCTCGATTTTTCTTGATCATCGCTCTTAAGCTGAAACCGAGCAGGGCAAGGAGTAAGGGGGGCCTTTCCTATTTTATATGAACCATAATTATAATGTTCTGAATTTCCACAAGCTTAAAATAACTATAATATATAATATATATTCTTTTCATTTGCTGTACATTTGTATTCCGCTAGCAAGAGATTTTAAACCTTAGAAATAAGTTCACTTTCCGAAATTTGACTTTTCTGAATATTCCTACTGGCCCGATTTGTAGTTTGTTGCCAAAAGCTTTACTATTTTCAATGGAGGGTAGATGAATGTACAGCGACTAGATAGATAATATACAACATGTTAAAATAATGGTAAATCTGGTTTCTTTTTCATTTCGATCACTGATCACCAAAAAGAATGTCTTTTTCCTTTTTTAGGAGAAGACCCCAGTTTATCAAGTCACATGACACAACGATAAAAAAACAAGTAGAACGATCACTATTTGTGGCAAACCAAATGCGACTGTGATCATGGACAAAATCGAATAATAAAAGAGCTAATAAATAAGCTTTTACTCAATGTTTTAGTTTTTCCTTTTCATTTTCGTTATCGTACGTTATCTTACATATAGAAAAATGGTATCAACGGAAAAAAAAACAACATATGTACACTTTTTTTTTCAGAAGTGCTGAAATAGCAAGGCAAGCAAAAAATGTGACAATTAAAACTATCTTCGGGAAAAGCACTACGTAGATTTTATCTGCAATTTGTTAGTGGAATGGCTGCGAAAGGACAAACAGGGGCCACCTGTAATCTTGGGAATACCAACAAGATTGCCGATGAAGTGGGGGAGAAGACAGAGAAAGAAAAAGCGGATAGTACTATTGGCGACGCCTATGTTAACTTTAAAGATTTCCAGAAAGCCATAGAGTACCATACACGAGACCTCAAAATTTCCAAAGAAGTGGGAGACATGGCAGGAGAAGGAAAAGCCTACTGTAATCTTGGCAACGCCTATGACAGTCTTGGAGATTTCCAGAAAGCCATAGAGTACCATGTACGACACCTCAAAATTTCCAAAGAAGTGGGAGACAGGGCAGGAGAAGGAATTGCCAACGGTAATCTTGGCAACGCCTATCACAGTCTTGGAAATTTCCAGAAAGCCATAGGGTACCATGAACGACATCTCAAAATTTCCAAAGAAGTGGGAGACAGGGCAGGAGAAGGAAGAGCGAACTGTAATCTTGGCAACGCCTATGACAGTCTTGGAGATTTCCAGAAAGCCATAGAGTACCATGCACGAGACCTCAAAATATCCAAAGAAGTGGGAGACAGGGCAGGAGAAGGAAAAGCGTACTGTAATCTTGGCAACGCCTATGACAGTCTTGGAGATTTCCAGAAAGCCATAGAGTACCATGAACGACACCTCAAAATTTCCAAAGAAGTGGGAGACAGGGCAGGAGAAGGAAGAGCGTACTGTAATCTTGGCAACGCCTATGACAGTCTTGGAGATTTCCAGACAGCCATTTACTGTTATAAAAACAGTGTCATTGCCTTCGACTATATCAGGGGAAATCTCATATCTAATGACGAATGGAAGATTAGTCTTGGGAGTACGTATGATAATGTTAATTTGAGGCTCTGGGGGCTACAGTTTAAGCAAGGTAAAGTCGTCGAGGCACTTTTAACTGCTGATCATGGACGTGCCCAAGCTTTAAATGATCTTCTGGAGTTCAAGTATGGGTTTAAAGTGTTGTCTCGAGAAATAGGAACATTCTCTGCAACAACACCTGACATTCTTAATTACCTACCATCAGATACAGCTTTTATAGGTATTAACGAGGAAGGAATAGTTCTCTGGGTGAAAGAGAAAGGAAACGAAATCAAAACTAGGAAAACTCAGATCGATATCTCCGTCAAAACCTATTTTCAGTCTCTACTGGAGACTGCACTTGAAAAAATGGGTGTGAGAGCTGATGTTAACTGTGAAGATCGTTCATTAAGGAACCCAAGCGATAACAAGTTAGCAGAAAAAAGATCCAGTCAGCCAAGGTCTCATTCCTCATCTTTTGAGCCAAAGTCATTACAAACATTTTACAAAGTTGTTATGGACCCTATAAGAGACTTACTCCAAGGCGATGAGGTTGTGGTTGTTCCACAAGGACCTCTTTGTTTGGCCCCTTATGCTGCTTTCATTGACTTGAAATCTAAGTACCTCTGCGAAACTTTTAGAATTCGCCTACTTCCCTCACTTTCTACTCTGCGATTAATCCAAAATTGTCCAGCAAATTGGCACAGCAACACTGGCGCTCTCCTCGTCGGCGATCCGTGGGTACAGGAGGTAGTTTATGAAGGAATGACGCTAGAGCAGTTAGCGTGGGCCGCAAAGGAAGTGCAGATGATAGGGGAAATACTTCAAACTGAACCTCTCGTTGGAAAGCAGGCAACAAAAGATGAAGTGTTAACACGTATCTCCTCGGTTGCTCTGGTGCACATTGCTGCTCACGGTAAAATGGAAACAGGAGAAATTGCCTTGGCCCCAAACACAACACGTTCATGCGTGAATCCAGCCAGGGAGGACTATCTCTTAACTATGAAAGATGTTTTAAAGGCGCAGATTAGGGCAAGACTTGTTGTACTCAGTTGTTGTCATAGTGCCCGGGGAGAAGTCAAATCTGAGGGTGTGGTCGGTATTGCACGGGCATTTTTAGGTGCTGGTGCTCGCTCTGTTCTGGTATCCTTGTGGGCGATCGACGACGAAGCTACTATGGAGTTCATGAAAGTCTTCTACCAACAACTAGTCCATGGACGAAGTGCCAGTGAGGCTCTGAATAAAGCCATGAAATCCATGAGAGAATCTGACCGCTTTAACGCAGTGAAATACTGGGCGCCGTTTGTTCTCATTGGTGACGACGTAACGCTCGAGTTTGAGGGCATCCAATAAATAACAAGGTATTTTAGGATATATTTAAACCTTGGATAATATTACGTGCTTTAGGAAACATCATTTCAGCAAGGTATTATACTTATTTATGTTCATTTTATTGAGCAACGAACTCAACCGGTGCCACGGAGCGTCAATCTGCCAATCACAGGTCAAGTTCACAACAACATAAGAGTCTGACTTTGTAGTTCTTTTGGCAGTTAAACACTAGAAAATTCATTTCAAGTCTCATGATTTTTACACATTTCAAAGTGTCGGTGGCTCCGTATGAGTTCGTTCCATTGTAACTTACAGTCGAACCTGACGTAAGCGACGACCCAAAAAGCGAAGATCGAATTTCCGGTCGCTTATTTTACGGAAGGTGGTCGCTTAGGAAAGTCTCCAGATATGGTATACGTAAATCCTTTATTAAGCCTCCCGGGGGGTTTATTCATTTCAAGAACGTTTGAGAGGGAGGAGGGGCTTATTTAATGAAGCGAAGATTGTGATATCATTTCCCCATAAAAAACTAGAGTGAAAAAGCTTAAGGACATGAAGTTGGAGGTCATGATTAGCCGAGGATCAAAATCAAATCGAAACATCCAGCTCGTGAATAAACCATACCGGATAATCAGTCCATATGAAGCGTTACAATCGTGATAAATTAATACATCTATCATACGTCTATTATATAAGAATTGGGAGAAGAGACTTGAAAGAGGGGAGGAGGTTAAATAATTTTCCTCTGAAAAGGGGAGCTTATTAGAGAGGAAGGCTTAATTCATTCATAAGTCTAATCATTGCTTGAAGTTACGAGTTTAAATGTGACCCTTGCTCTCATAGATTTAGGGCGTTTTTGATTCACCGTATTCATTCCCCGTCTTAATTAAAAATAAATTAATGGAATAAACTCGCCAGAAATCGCTTGTTCTGTCTTTCATTCTACAAAACTGCTTCAAATAAAGTATTTTGATCTATATAAACTTTAAATGGTTCAAAAATTACGGTATTCTTATTCCGGAGTACGATCAGTCGAGCGCACTCTTAGAAGTCAGTGGTCAAAATGTTATGCCTCCCCAGATGAAGTCACTATCCTTTTCTTTTGTTTGCTTGCTAACGTTGTTTTTTGCTGTTGTTGTTGTTGTATAGGTTATGATGAAGAATGCAGTGAAGCAGTTCCTAACCATCTGAAGTTGAGGTGAGTTTCAACTTTTGTGACAATTACGAGGTGGAGCGTTCCTCGCAAGAATAGGAAAACTTTATCTAGGAGAGAAAATTATATGCTGTTAATATAAATAATTTGAAGCTTTGCGTAGTCTGAAAATAACGGTGTACGTTTCGTAGCTTATTTTGCGACCAGTTGTGTGCATTTGAAACTTGTTTTATAGTGCCCTTAAAAATATCAGGAATAAGTAGTGAATTTCGGCTATTTCCATTGATACCACATGGGACAGAGGCACTTAAGACTAGCAATTCAATGTATTTACATTCGGCGAAGCTAAACGTAGTGGCAGTGACAGAGAATGTAAATACTTTCCTATTGGTACGAACGCACGCGAGCCGCTATGGCGTTAATTGACCCTATTGTTATTAGGTATATAAGGTTTTGACAGTTGTAATGTATTCATCTCAGCTCTCGAACTATCAACTTTTATTTTTATATGTTACTTTATTCATCTATCGATTCAGTTTTTACCTTTAACCCCCAAAGGTTGTGCGACCGCATCGGTTGGGGAATACGTTCCCAATTTTTTCCCATTGGGTTTTTGGGTTTTCGTATCAGGCGGCGCACGTGAATAGTTTAGCCTGAGTGACTTTATTTAGGAATATTTGTATACCATTCTTTATTTATGATGTTGAACTTTGTATGTTATCAGTTTGGACGGAATTAAACACTCAGGCTCCACAGTTTGAGCTGCACACCCATGCCCGTCTCTTAGTCGTGAATATAAATAGGAAATATAGTTCCTTTATATTATTTACACAGTTGTAGTTTTTAATTCTTTTGGCAGATTGGTTTAAGTTTATTAGCGTCTAGAGTGGTATCCATTCTAAGACTGAAGTCAAATTCCCTGTTCAGTCACTAGGTTAAATCACTAATAAATGTAATTCTACGTTTACTCGTCTTTTTGATAGGCGGAAGATTTCTATTTCAAAGCTCAGGCTTATTCGCGTTTCCGACGTTGTTTTCACCATCGAGTTTTCTGATTTCTCTTGTCGACACCTTTTACATACAAGAGGTTAAGCCGGAAAGAAAAAAGAAAGACAAATAGGGAAATTAAAATCCGTAATTGTTTGGTGCATGGTCAAAACATATTTAAGAGTCCCTTGTTTTCTGTTTTGAAGAAAACAAACTTTCCAGGTTTAATTCAAGTCTACATGACCTCATTTAATTATACATCTTTACAGAGGATATGTTTTACACCTGACCTAGATTGTACCTATAAAAATTAACTTCTTCACATAAATAAATCGTTTTGTGTATCCAAACTGGTGTCTATAGTAGTAAGTGTCAAAGCAATGATGTGGAACTTAATTCTAATGCTGACAAGGAACGTATACCTTCCTGCGTAAGGTTATTTAACACTGGCCTAAAAATGTCGTACCTCAGTGAGGCGGTGTCCTTATTGGCTGATCGAAATCTTGGTTAATAAGTTTTTTACAAAAAAAGGAAAATTGAGCTAAATCGTGAACTTAGATAAAATAACGAAATAAATAGGATTCCTCGTGAGACAATGTGGAAAGTTTCTATTGACACCACCTGTTGAATGTAGCAAGCGTAGCCAACATAGCAGGGGCAAGAAGTGTAGCAAGCAAACGTAGCAAGAGAAGCAAGTATACCAAACGTACTGTAGCAAGCGCAGCAAGTGTATCGTAGCAAACATAACAAGTGTAGCAAGAGTAGAAAGCGTAGGAAGAGTAACAAGTGTAGCAAGCGCCGGTAGCAAGTGTAACAAGCAAACTTTGCAAGCGTAGCAAGTGTACGGGCAAACCAAGCAAGCGTAGCAATTGCAGCAAGCGTAGCAATAGACCTATTCGGCTAACTCAATGTTGTACCCAATTCAAATCTCCATGTAATCGATCTTTGAGACCTTTCGTTTAAAACGTTTTCTCAACTAACTGAAGAATGACAGAGTTAGTTCTCCCCAAAATAAATCATTCTCTCAAAGGCTTTAAGGCGAAAGTAACATGAGCAAATTAATATGCGGATGGCTGGTTCCCTTTAGTTAAAACTATTTTTTTAAAAAAATGTTTAAATGATAAGAAAGGAAATAAATAAAAAGAAACAGAACAAAGGGAAAGAAATAGAAATAGATCAATTAGATGATTAAAATGAAAGAAATAAGAGAAATACATCCGTATTCAAGAAATGGGAAGAGAGACCCTGACTGGTTGTCGGGCCGGGGTTCAAACTGTCACAGCTCGCTCAGCTGAAGATAACCCAGGGTTAGTATAGTATAGTTAGTATAGTGCAAAATTTGAATTCAAATATGAAAGCTATAAGGTAAATTCAATTTGATTTTTTGTCTACCTTTTGATGATTGGATTTGATTATAGTTAACTGAAAAAATGCTTTTCAACTAAAGAAAAACAATCCCAGATTTCATGACGATATCTCAAGGAATTACGTCGTGCACCAGACTCTTTGCAGATGATATGAAGGTGTCTAGGGTACTGAGGGACACTAAGGAAGATGTTGAAGAACTCGGCAGAAAGATCTTACTCGTTTGGAATATTGGGGCAATTGAGATTTAACACTGATAAATGCAAAGTGATGCGTATTTCTAAAAAGACAAACACCGTCATCGCAAGCTGAGGAACCTGAATTGATGTGATTGGAAATCATGCATTGCGCGCTCAATCTACAGATTAGTCAGGTATCCGCTAGCAGATAACTAACTAATCTCTAGGTTCTGTAGACTAGGTTGCGCTGATTTCCAAAACTATCTATAGGCTCTTAGCCAATGAGAAGACAGATAGTGAGTACAATGTAAAATAAACAGGGTTATCGGTACGTGGGGAAAAAAGTTCATCCTGGTGTCCGGTTAATAGAGGTTTTGCTGTATCTTTGTCTACCTGTTATAAATAATTCAGCCTCCAGCAAATATGAAAGCACACAAACCAGTTGCAATTGTTATGAGGTAGTTGCCTTTAGTTTTGTTTTTCAGTTGTGCTATTTTTAAGATTTTGCTAGCTTCGTGATAAACAGTTTATAGACTTCTATAGACTTAGAGACTCAGAGATTCAGTGTATTTCCCCACATGGTTAGTTCCTGAGTTTTTGTCTAGTATTATCCATTTGAAGAGTTTGTTAAGCTTAGTTTTGTTTCTTTGAAGTAGGCTTGTTTGGGGAGTACCGCTGACCTTGAGTTTTACCAACAATCGAGTTCCTGTTTTGTATGTTTTGTCGTACTGGGCAGTTTCACTGTTAGCATTTAACAGCTGGTTCTTTGACACTTGTCGGTTGCGGCTGTGTAGGCTTATCTATAGCAAACCTGTTGCAATATAGGCGATAAGATATTCAATAGAAACTCTTCCGGTCAGCCAACCCAAAATAAGTCTACAATTTGGTTATTTAATTCGCTGTGTAAGCTAGTAGAATTTGTAGAGTTGTTGTAAGCAGCTGTTAAAGATTAAACTGCTATCTTAAAGAGAAAGAACAGAGTCTTGGTCCTCTCATTTCAAAGCCTAGCGAGCTTCACAAGCCCTCAACACAATCTTTGCATGATTAAAATGGACAACCCCCCTCAGTTCCAGAATATTTTTTGTCACGTTAAATATATGACATATATTTCTTGAAAATCAGTACGTTACCCGTCTTTATGCCCTTTTGAGGTTCCTAGTTAATTAATCTCTAAGGTGTGCAAAGGAAGTTTGACAATGAATAAGGGGACGACGTTCCTACCCTTAAACTGACCTATACCGTAAAAGATCCATTAAAACCCTGGGGTGTGTGTTAATTTATTTTAAGTTTTGAGAGGGACCTCTTTTATTTCCAGAGTCAATAATAGGGTAGACTACGAGAAGTCCCCATTTTTCCTCAGAGACTAAAGCGAACGAAACGCGAGCGCACGTGAAAATCTCTCCACGCGAGGAAAGGCGAGACGCAGCGGTAGAGAGCGCGGAGTGAGTTTCACGCGCGGTCGCGTTTCGCTCGCTCTACTATCCCTGAGGGAAAATGGGGACTATTTATACTCTAATAATAGGGGGCGTTTAAAGAGATTTGCGTCTTGGTAAATGGATGTGCCCAATTTTTTTTCTTTTCGATTTTGTCCCCGATGTCAATGTCAGTATTATAATATGGGTTCTAAACTTCCGTAGAGAGCTGAGATTTATGCCCTTCTGCCTGATCTTGTCTGGGATAAAACGATTTCAGCAAAAATAATTACTAAAAAAAAAAACTTTTCAAAGGCGTTACCCCTATTATGTGTATGATTGAACTAGATATGGTTGGTGCTTAGTAGGCTTGGGAGTAGTATAAGGTAGGGTAAGGTTGGGAGTAGTATAAGGTAGGGTAGGGTTGGGAGTAGTATAAGGGTAGGGTAGGGTTGGGAGTAGTATAAGGTAGGGTAGAGTTGGGAGTAGTATAAGGTAGGGTAGGCTTGGGATCAGTATAAGGTAGGGTAAGGTTGGGAGTAGTATAAGGTAGGGTAGGGTTTGGAGTAGTATAAGGTAGGGTAAGGTTGGGAGTAGTATAAGGTAGGGTAGGGTTGGGAGTAGTATAAGGTAGGGTAGGGTTGGGAGTAGTATAAGGTAGGGTAGGGTTGGGAGTAGTATAAGGTAGGGTAGGGTTGGGAGTAGTATAAGGTAGGGTAGGCTTGGGAGTAGTATAAGGTAGGGTAGGGTTGGCTAGAGACTATTAGTAAGGGCTTATAATCAGCAGAAACTGCGCTTTTATTGCACTGTTCGCACTGGTGACTCTTTTAACTTGAAGTTTGCTATGATGACCAAACTATTGTTTTTAACTTGAAAGGAATTCTGCTGCCTCATACAGAAACGTCCTTTAGACTATTTTTCTGCTAAAATTCCTTTTATATTTTCCTCTTAGATATAACATTTAGTGTACATTTATGTGGAGAAGGTAGGCGGCAATTTTATTTTGAGCCACTTTTGACGGAAAAAACGTCTAAATCCCTATGACATAGCTCCTCTGACATTTGATGTCAGAGAAAATTTATCATTCAGGTATTGCATGTAACACGAAAGCGTCAAAGCAAAATTCTAACCAAAATTTAACCTGAAGTGTTAACCGCTTTCTCGCCTGACACATTACGCTAGTTAACCTTAAAATCCAG